AGCCCATAGGAACACATTAATGGGCTTTTTAATTCTGTTTAGCAATGAAATCACTTAGCAACATTTTTCCTGCACGGATTAACATCGCTAAGCAAGGCACCACTGTATATTAGGAGCCCTGTGGCACAGTGGTTAAACTGCAATACTTCAGTCAAGACTGTTCATGACCTGAGTCCATTCTTCCAAGGCTGGCAAACTGAGGACTCAGCTCACTGGAGGGGGGTAACAATGGATAGCCTGCACAATTAAATTATAAACCGCTCAGAGAATGCTTTAAGCACTATGGGGCAGTACATAAGCAGCACACTTTATTAGCCGGCTGGAAACCGCCTGCATTTTTTTCAGCAAGAGGCGTTCATTCCCTGACTAATGCACCCAACTTAGACTGATTCAGAGAGGACAGTCTTGCGCGTGAACGTGAATTACTAGATGCTTGGTTCTTGTGTGGTAGACTATGCTGGAAACAATCCTACAGAAAATGAATTATTTTGTGCATCGAGTGAGGTGTTGTTTAGTGGTTGCTTTCCACTATTCCCACTCATCCTTTCTGTAGTCAAAGGTAAAAGGTAAAGGTTCCACTTAGTTCCCCTTGACAATTTTTGTCCAGTTGTGTTCGACTCTAGGGGGCGGTGCTCATCCCCGTTTCCAAGCCATAGAGCCAGCGTTTGTCCATAGACAGTTTCCTGTGGTCACGTGGCCAGCATGACTTAGGCACGGAATGCTGTTACCTTCCCACCGAGGTGGTACCTATTTTATCTACTTGCATTTGCATGCTTTTGAACTGCTAGGTTGGTGAGGAGCTGGGACAAAGCGACAGGAGCTCACTCCCTCGAGTGGATTCAATCTTACGACGGCTGGTCTTCTGACCCTGCAGCACAGGCTTCTGTGGTTTAGCCCGCAGTGCCACCACGTCCCTTTCTGTAGTCAAACCATTGGACAATTCTCTTACTGCCCTTGATATTCTAATTTATAGGTCCATGAATATTGCTCTGCTAGATCAAATAAAAGACCCTTTTGTTCCAGCCAAAGTCAGCTTTTATGTACCTGCTCACACTCATTAAAAAAAGGTGTACAAAATAAAGGCAAAATATTTATCCTCTTCAGAGCAGGGGCCACCTTGTTTCCTTTCCATTCCTTTATCTGTATCATATTCTTTCAGTTATTTTACATTACTGTATTAGGGGGCTTTTGGGGAAGAATAGCAGCAAATGTCACAACATTAGTGGAGACCCTTCTGATATTCATTTGTTCATATATTAAGAAAATATTTTTTTTACTTAGACTCTACTTTCTTTCCCTTCACATTCCCCCCCAAGCTCTGCCTTTTTTCATTCCCTGAAAATTTGGGGGGGAAATCCCAGAGGTATAGTGCTTTAGAGGCTCCATTAGTGAGAAACATCAGCTTTGTTTTGCTGGATCAGTCCCAAGAAACACTCACCTGTTAAAGAATCATTTTACTGTTTTAAAAAAGGGGCCCATTAGGTATTGCTCATGGACAGATTCTTTCTGTTTGGATTGATACTCTTTCATTCCGCCCCTATCATTTCCTCCTTTTCACAAAGGCTGGAATTTAACATAAGAGACTTGACATCTCTCTTTCTTCCGCACCCCAATCCCAGGACAGACCGACTAAGAGCGATGTAGCAAGTTGGCTTCATTTATTTCTCCAAGTCCTTTCCTGTCAAAGAAACTAGGTCTGTATAAACCGGCCCTTGCTAGGTTTTCCATCATATCACCGACCTGCCAAAGGAAGTCCCGGCCGCATGGCTTACACCTTACACACAAAGTTTCGAAAGACGATGGTAACGTGCTCTGAATAGAGGTCTTGGAACAACGTCTAGTATGGCTTAGAAGGCCAATTCGAGAGTGACAATCCCTTCCACACTGAAGACAAATGCAGTCTCTCCCCTGTCCAGCTCCCTGGTTTTGCTTCTTTCGGGACTTCCTCTTTGCCTCGGCCTGCTGAACAAGGGTCTCTTCAAACTGGCCTCCAGGCTGAACGCTCAGAGGTCAATGTTTCCGATCTGTTGAGATCCATTCCTAAGGCCTTCAGATCCCGCTTGCAGATATCCTTGTATTGCAGCTGTGGTCTCCCTCTCGGGTGATTTCCCTGCACTAATTTTACATATAGGAGATCTTTTGGAATCTGACCGTCAGCCATTCTCACGACATGCCCAAGCCAAAGTAGGCATCGCTGTTTCAGTAATGTATACATGCTAAAAATTCCAGCTCGATCTAGGACTACTCTATTTGGAAGTTTGTCCTGCCAGGTGATACCAAAAATACATCAGAGACAACGCATCTGGAAGGTGTTCAGCTTCCTCTCCTGCCATGCACAAATGGTCTAGGTCTCACTACACTACAGGAGTGTGCTCAGGACACAGGCACCTTCCACAGCCAGCATCTATCACACTGAGCTAGGGTTTCTTTGCCATCCATGCTTCCTTCACCCAGATTCAGATGCAATTCTGGGTGGCCATCTCGAGAGAGGCCAGGAAGTCAGCTGCCAGAAGTAGGGCACCAACAGTTTGGAATCATCTGTCAGTGGAGCTTCACCTGGTTCCCTCCCTTCCAACGTTTAAAAGACTTTGGAAAGCTCTGCTTTATAGAGAAGACCTTTTTTTTTGCAACCAGTCTGATGTGTTTCTCTGTTGCCCTGTTTGCTACATGCTTTGTGCCACATTTTAGCTTGTAATTTATGTCTCTTGGAGTTTGCTGCTTGTGTCCTGCTTATTTGTTTTATTTAATTCATGACTAGGATGTTTTTATTCTACTGTATGCCACCATGAGTGGTGCTCTGCAGTAACAGGACAGTATATAAATGCAACAAATGAACAAACGAACAAATGCATGAACCAACCAACCAACCAACCAACCAACCAACCAACCAACCAACCAACCAACCAACCAACCAACCAACCAACCAACCAACCAACCAACCAACCAACCAACCAACCAACCAACCAACCAACCAACCAACCAACCAACCAACCAACCAACCAACCAACCAACCAACCAACCAACCAACCAACCAACCAACCAACCAACCAACCAACCAACCAACCAACCAACCAACCAACCAACCAACCAACCAACCACCCATGAAATATTTCCAATAAATCCAAGAGGCAAGCTGTGGACTGGCATGGCAACAATGCCAGATTGATCAGGCTCAAAATTTATATTGTCCCATTGCGTTTTAACTAATTAGCAAGTCATCAGCACTTCTACATATGATCAAAGTCAGCTTCCCCCCCCCCCAAGATATTGTTATAATTAACAAAAGTTGCTCACTGCAATAGAAAATAAAATAAGTTAAAGTCTAGCAATATATTTCATCAGGGAACCTTCCTCCCCCCCAAAAGCGGTAGTCTTTATAGTCAAATGCCACCACCTGCTGTTGAATCTAGGAATGGCATCTCCTTCAGATAACATTTTGGTTTCTACCAGCTTTTCCATTCATTTAATTTCTGGAATGCAGCTAGATTCTCTTATTCGAAGTCTTATTCATTCTGGTGCAATTATAAACATATCTGCTAAACTTCACAGAATTGCATCTGAATGTCTAGGCTACAACTCCAGGTATACTGATGGGAATAAGAGACAGACAGCCAGACGGACAGACGGATGGACGGACAGACAGAGGTACAGATGAATGGACAGATGGACAGATGGACGGATGGACGGATAGACAGACAGACAGACAGACAGACAGACAGACAGACAGACAGATAGATAGATAGATAGATAGATAGATAGATAGATAGATAGATAGATAGATAGATAGATAGATAGATAGATAGATAGATAGACCACCCAAGTTAGTGAGATCATAAAATCCAACCCCTGTCCAACCCCTATCCAGCAAATAACCACTCAAGTTAGTGAGATCATAAAACCCAACCCCTGTCCAACCCCTATCCAGCAAATAAAATAAGTAAGAATAAAGACTACACCACTACCGTGTTCCCCTGAAAAATAAGACAGGGTCTTATATTAATTTTTGCTCAAAAATGCTTTGGGGCTTATTTTCACGGGATTTTTTTTCCATGTCCAACATTTACATTTAGTCAAATACAGTCATGTCATCTATGTCCAACATTTACATTTATTCAAGTACAGTCATGTCATCTTCTTCTGGTTGCGGCACAAGGGTGGAGGGCGGGGGTTTCACTTAACTGGGGCTCATTCCTGGGGTAGGGCTTATATTATGAGCATCCTGAAAAAAATCATACTAGGGCTTATTTTCAGGTTAGGTCTTATTTTCGGGGAAACAGGGTATCTTGGCTAGCTTTTATTTAAAAGCAACAGTTTCGCTCAATGTCTCCTCTCTCACTCAAATACTTTCAATATATACTTCAAGAACATCTTTACAGAAGTATTTGCTCCTTCCAACAACAGGATAATGGTCAATGGAAAGGTTGTCAACAATAGCCAACACATAGATGACACTGTATTTCTAGCCAACAATTTAGACAGTCTGCAAAGCACACTCAGTCGAACCAAATAAGTAATGAACGGAGCCTCGAAATGATAGTTAAGGAAACCAAGTTAATGGTAATCCGTGAACCGCAAAAACTGGGCTGTTAGAGACACACACATAAAACATAACATTGCCCATCGTACGCTTCCATCCGCCTAATGACAGGACCAGCCCTAAGATGGTCCAGTGGTACAAAAGAAATCTAAGGCTCCATTTTTAGGAGATGGAAGGACTGGTGGAGTTTCAATGGTACAGCATTTATTCTGAGGAAACGCTTACTTTGGCTGTTAAAGAAACATCTGCTTCAGTAAAGTCATTGAAAAGTGGGAGAGCAATAGACCCAACCATTTATCAGACCTAGTAGTTATAAGCAGCTCAGCTGGTACAAGGGGGTGTGGGGTGACCTCACAGAGGCCAAGAGGACCACCAAAGTGGGCAATGCCCCCATGACCTCATAGAGCCACTGGGAGCTAGATAAGTTGCCCCTACCAAATAATTACACAGTCAATGGGAGGTGGTGAGCCTCCCAACAGCCACTTAGAGAAACTTGAAGGTAATTTTGGAGGAATTGGGCAGCAGTGGAAATACGGATGGTAAGTGTCGATAAGACAAGAAACCCCAAAAGCTGCTTTGGATTTCCATGCATATGTGGAGATGGATGAGGGATATCTGTGCCCTCCAGATGTTGCTGGACAACATTTTCCATCCTCCTCACCCATCACAGAGAACAATGAGGAAATCAGGGAACTGAAGTTGGGCAAAATCTGGAAGATGATAAATTGCCCAATCCTGCACTAGGGGTAGGGACAGGAGGCGTGAATATGAAATGTCAGGTGGGAGAGTACATAATATGATTTAGAAGGACAGAAAGACAGCAAGAACAAAATTTGTATACTTCCCCCCCCTTTTTGGGGGGGAAATCTGTCTTAACCAAATACCACATCACAGTTTGGTTACACATGAGACTAGAATCTAAAAGTCAGTCTGTCATAGCTGTCTTGTTGTGAGTTTACTAACTGCAGGTTATTATAAGGGAGAGTAATCTGAAGTTGACATTTTAGGATTTCTTGAGGAATCTTAGAACTTCGGAGCTAAAAGGGACCCGTTTGGATCCCAACGAGGCACAGTGGGGGAATTGAACTCTCTCAAACAGTGGCTCCACAGCGAGCAGTTCATACCTTACTGATTTTATCTCTGCAGTACAAGTTTAAGAATTTGTAGATTTATTATTTGTGTTTGTTGCTGTTCTTTTTATGGAAACGAATCTTAGGAATATCAGGAAGAACCTCGTAGCTGTTGGAGCAGTATGACGAGGGGACCAATTGTCTGGAAGCATTTAAGAGAAAATTGGACAAGCCTCTGCCAGATCTGCTTCAATTTAGGTTCCTGCCTTGAGCAGGGGGTCAGACTTGATGGCCTTCTTAGGCCCCTTCCAACTCAATGATTCTATGATCAATGATGCATGTGACACAGGAATATCACAAAGAAACAAACAAGTACTGCAAATCACTTGAGCCTTGGGATATACTCACAAAAGCAAACAAGTGTCTCCCAATGAACCATTTCAAATTTATTTAAAAAACCCAACACAACAACACTAGAAGGGCCTGATTTTGGCCTGATTTTCTTCATGAAACAGCCTTCCATCGCTCAGGAAGTCCCTGATCTGTTCTTAATTCTGCTCTTTTTGAGAGTTTTATACAGTGGTGCCCCACTTGACGATGACCCCGCTTGACGACCAAATTGCTGTATGATGACTTTTTTGCAATTGCTATAGCGGTGAGAGTTTTATACAGTGGTGCTCCACTTGTCGATGACCCTGCTTGACGACCAAATCGCTGTATGATGACTTTTTTTGCGATTGCTATAGCGATTGCAAAACAATGTTTCTATCGGGTTTTTTCGCTTTATGTTGATTCGGTCTCTGCTTCAGGAACCGTTTTTTCGCTTGACCATGATTTTCCCAGCTTTGTAAAATGGCTTCCCTTCACAAAATCGACGCCTTCCCTTCGCAAAATGGGTGTTTTCCGGATGGAAGCTTCGCATTACAGCGAATTAGAACAGTTGATTGGTGGTTCTCTATGGGCGATCTTCGCAAAACGAGCAGGTATTTCCCCCATTGAAACGTATTAATCGGTTTTCAATGCATTCCAATGGGTTTTTTACTTTCGCTTGATGACGATTTCGCTGTACAGCAATTTTGCTGGGATGCATTATTATCATCAAGCAGGGCACCACTGTATTGGTACAAAATCTTAGAGGAAACTGAAGCTGCCCAGGTATGATTGAACTCATGTGGTATGACATTAAAAAGTGTGTGTCTGAGGGATGCCAACAAGGCTTTTGACATCTTTTTTTCCTTGTTTGCTCTACTTCCCACACAGACTGCCATGATTCACAGCAGACTACAAAGCTGTACGCTTACAGCTGGCTATTTTGCGTACCTTCTTGCGGGGGCCCTCATCTTCCAGGTTCTGGAGAACAACACAGGAAGAGAGGAGGAACAAAGCACTGTCTTTAGAATGAAGGAAGACTTCTTGAAGAACTTCACTCGACTCAGCCCAGCAGAGGTAGAAGCCTTTGTGGAGGTAAGTCATCCTTTAGGTAAAGATAGAACAAGAGTTTGGAAAGATTATTTTTGAGGACAACAGAATCCCGCCAACCCCAATGTAAGTCACCTTCTGCTAAGGAATTCTGGGGTTCCAGAAAATAACTTTCCCCAGGTCTGAGATATAGCTTGTCTTTGTGAAAAATCTGCATTCAAAATCCATCTCCAAGGCTATTGTATAATCCTCTGTCCTCATTCCAGAGCCCCTCTGTTAAAAAAAAAAGTTTGAATCCAGTCTTGAAACAAAATGTGAAAACACCCACAAAATTTCAACTTACGTTTTGCTGGCAAGCTGAACAACTTGTCTATTTTGAACAAGGCATTTAAAAAGGGGTTGCTGTTTTTTAACATCAACTCCCCCCCCCCAACATATTGAAGATTCTGGTTGACTCATACCTCTTATCAACTGTAAAAACAATATTATTGCCTAGACAAGATGCTGATTCCATACCTAGAAACAGTGAACCCTTAAGAGGAAAGGTTGTTATGTTGTCGGTTCAACTTATACACTGCCCGATAGTGCTAAAGTATTATATGCCAACTTTTCTCAGCAAGTTTTCCTGGAGGAGAGATTTGAACTCAGTTCTCCTAAGTCTCGGTCCCACACTCTACCCACTACAAGTCTCCAACTCCCGGTCCGCAGACCAGTGCTGGTCCGTGACCTGAGCTGGATCAGGCCGTAGAGACAGACCTTCCACTCACCCCACATGCACTCCCCCCGCCCAGCCCCTTTGCGCATGTGTGCGCACCAGTGTCCGTATGACCCCTACCCTACCCTTTTGCACATGCACCTGAGCACCCCACCTCCATTTGTGCATGCGCCCATGCACCTGCACAAGTGTTGCACCACCATTTGCGTATGTGCACAAGCATGCACAAACACCCTCCCGCTCCTTCGTGCATGCATCGGATCAGGCCATGGAGACAGACCTTCCACCCTCCCCACACGCACTCCCCCTGCACAGCCCCTTTGTGCATGTGTGCGCACCAGTGCCCGTATGACCACTCCCCTAACCTTTTGCACATGCACCTGAGCACCCCACCTCCATTTGTGCATGCGGCCCCGCCTGAGATCCACGCCACTGTTTGCGCATGTGCACAAGCATGCCCCCGCGCGCATTAGCATCCTCCTGCTTCTTTGCACACTGCACAAGTGCAGGGGGTGCCCCACCTTTCCCAGCTGGTCTGCAGGGTTAAAAAGGTTGAAGACCCCTGCACAACACCACATCGGACCTTCTAACAGGGAAAGCATGCATATTAATTCCAAAACAAGCTTGCCGCAATCTTCATTTGGCAAGCTTACTATTTTTAACCCGTCGACAACCATGATGGAGGACCATTGCGCCATGTGGAGCCCAGCGAGTGAACCTGGCTGGTTCTGGGGGAGGAAACTGGGCCACAATTTGCATTCGTATCCCCGGGATACAAATATGAAGTACCCATGCCTAATAAAAATCATCACAACGGAAAAGCTTTAAAAATGACAAGGAAGAAATTGAAGTTTTCAAAGTTTTTATATATCTCGGTTCAATCTTTAATCCAAATGAAGACTGCAACCAAGAAATCAGAAGAAGACTTGGAAGAGGAGCAATGAAGGAACTAGAAAAGGTTGTTAAGTAAGTGTAAGGATGTGTCATTTGACACCAAGGTCGGAAGCATCCAAGATGCTGCGTTGCTGATTACTATGTTAGAGAGTGAAGAAAGCGGACAAGAAACAAATGGTTTGAAATATAATGCTAGATGAAAGCTTGGCAGATACCCTGGACCACCAGAAACGGACAAACGAAGCTTGTTCTTTCTCTGGAAAAGGAACTTTCTCTGGAAGCCAAAATGATGAAACGGAGATTGTCATACTTTGGGAGAAGCCCAGGTAGGTGGGGCTTGTCAGCCTTGAAAGGCAGCCCATTTAGGTGAAGGAAAACTCTGATTTCAAACCTCCACTGCCTTGTGGCTATATCCACTCATGGAAAAGGCTTCAGGAGTTAACCTCGAGGCAAAATCCGGAGCCAGAGTCCCAGAGGCAGTTTGTGTCGTTCTGGCAATTCCTGCAACGTCATTGGAAACAGTTGTATTGGCTCTTGCCTCTCCATTGGACTATTTCAGTGATGTGGAGAGGGGGGAATTTGCTACTTGGGTAACAGCCTATCCTCCATATTATTTTACCTAGGCTCTGTGCTCTGGAAAGGACACTCCAGCTTTGCATACAGTGTCAAAATAATATGGGAAGAGGCAGTCCCGAAACCAGCAAAATCAGGGAGCTGGACAGGGGACAGAGTGTATTTGTCTTCAGTGTGGAAGAGATGGTCACTCTTGAATTGGCCTTCTCAGCCACACTAGATGCTGTTCCAAGACCTCTACTCAGAGCACGTTACCATAGTCTCTCAAGACTGAAGGATGCCTAATCATACTTTGGGCATATCATGAAAAAGACAGTAATGCTGGGAAAAGCTGAAGGCAACAGGAAAAATGGGTTTTTGGGGGGGTTGATATAGGGAAAACACTCTGGCCATTCATTACACTAGCTGGCTGGATAGCTCAATGGTACAGCCTGTGGAGCCAGAGGTTGGGAGTTTGATTCCCCACTGTGTCTCCTCCAAGTAGAGCCAGCTTGGGTGGCCTTGGGCCAGCTGCCCGGTCCCAGGGAGCTTCCAGAAGAAGGGAACCATAAACCACTTCCAAGTATCCTCTATTGAGAAAACCTGGAAAGGGTTGTCATAAGTCAGAAATGACTTGGTGGTACATGAAAAATAAAATTCACTATGCGAAGCATAACAGGCAGAGTTTTGGGGTCAGGGTAAACGGGCAAGCCAAGAAGCAATCACCAGAGATCTGATTCTGTCCAGATGTGATTCACATCCTATCTCCACCATTCCTGAGCAAAACAGATCGACAAGGTATGATATTAAGATTTAAGAGGTGAAGATGTTATGTCCGTTGAGTAAGACGGAGAGTATCCCATAGAAAGGACAGCGCCATGGGCCGAGAGGTACATTGTAAGGACCAGCGATTGGATGAGATTTATTTATTTTTGACTCCCAAAATGTTCAGACTGAGCCTTCCCTTCCACTGCAGAATCTCATGGAGGCAGTGAGGAGGGCAATGTATCCAGTCCGAAACCAGGTCTCTGATGGACGCATCAAGTGGGATTTCAGTAATTCGTTCTTCTTCGTCGGCACCGTGTTATCCACAATAGGTAAATTAGCTACGCTTCCCTCAAGAACATAGCCAGGGCATCCAAGCAGTCCTGATCAGAAAAATGGCGTTACAAACAATATAAGGTTTCAATTTTTGTTCTCCACTCTCCTTCATATCTCAGCCTCCCGCATCCCGACCTTCTCTTTGTGACCGAGGAAGGAACAACTGAACAAGCGGTGCAGTGACCACCTCTTTCTCAGTCTGATTCTTTTGATTGATTTCTTTTGCTTTCCATTTCTGGGACCTATAACTATATTCATTATAGGCTGTGTTGGTTTCACATTGTAATGTTACAAACAGTATAAGGTTTCAATTTTTTTTGTCTCCACTGTCCATCATATCTCAGCCTCCCGCATCCCGCCCTTCTCTTTGTGACCGAGGAAGGAACAACTGAACAAGCAGTGCAGTCACCACCTCTTTCTCAGTCTGATTCTTTTGATTGATTTCTTTTGCTTTCCATTTCTGGGACCTATAACTATATTCATTATAGGCTGTGTTGGTTTCACATTGTAAACATGTTTTAGGCAGCTTTTTAAAAAAATCCACGTGTGCTTCTGGCATTGAGTGTTTTTCTTTAGGAAGCATACATTCAGTGTTTGTTTCAGCATTTCGTGGATTTTGAACAAGGTCCATTGCCCGATAGAGCTTTAGTGACATATATGTGATTTTTTTTCCTGATGACTTTATTTATTTAATTAATTTGCATACCACCCAATTCGTGCAATGCACTGTACTGGTATAATGCACTGCGCTTTACAACATCCAGCAGTGGTAGGGTTACAAATGAAAGCAATGGACCGCACAATGTTAGAGCAATTTAAAAATCACAAAAGGTACAACGTCTAACTGAAAGACAGAAAGCAAGGCATGAAATCAAGCAGAGATGTCATGAACAGCTTCTCTGAAAAGCAATGTTTTCAGGAGCCTTTAAGGGAGGGAGGGAGGAAGGCTCAGTTCCATCGTGAGCTGATTCCAGAGTTCAGGTGCTGAAATTTATGTATATACAATTTAGTTTAGTGTTATACCCCAGTAAGGTACTGTAACATACAGCACGGAAGTTACCTGTCTGTCATGGGTTTGGAGGGAAAGTTCCATCCTATGGGGAGTGGAAGGCGGGACATCAGGGGGGAGGAGCTGTACTGTATATATATTTGGAGCTTGTGTGGAGAAGGAGGAGGAGGAAGGCTCAGTTCCATCGTAAGCTGATTCCAGAGTTCAGGTGCTGAAATTTATGTATATACAATTTAGTTTAGTGTTATACCCCAGTAAGGTACTTTTCCCTATTTGAGGGAAGTTTTTACAGGGATGTGGTGGCGCTGCAGGTTAAACTGCAGAAGGCTCTGTTCTGCAAGGTTGGAAGACCAGCTGGCGTAAGATCGAATCCACGCGATGGAGGGAGTTCGAAAGCATGCAAAAGATGCACGTAGATGAATAGGTACCACCTTGGTGGGAAGGTATCAGTGTTCCGTGTCTAAGTCGCACTGGCCATGTGACCACAGAAACTGTCTTCGGACAAACGCTGGCTCTAAAGCTTGGAGACAGGGATGAGCACCGCCCCCTAGAGTCGGACACGACTGGACTAAATGTCAAGGGGTACTTTCACTTTTACCTTTACAACTATTCATCTCATTTTTGGTAGGCTTGAAAGGTAAACCACCTTGAGTGCATTGCAGGCAACCAGTTATGTGAATGGGGTAAATACAAGAAATATTTCACTGAGGCCTGCTCTGCAATTGGCCGCAGGTCAGTCTGTTACTGGCACCAGTCTGAAGCTTACCTAGATATTCTCTGCAACTCTCTTATATTTCTACAGGATATGGAAACCTCTCTCCCAAAACTGCAGGCGGCCAGCTCTTCTGTGTTGTGTTTGCTCTCTTCGGAATCCCCTTGAACATCGTCTTCCTGCAGCACATCGGCAAGATCCTCTCGATGCTATGTGAAAGACTTGCTAAATGGCTGTATAGAAAGGGCATCAAGAAGGTTAATTCGGTTTGCATTAGTTGATCATTAATCTGTAAACTGGATTTCTTTTTTTGGACCATAATATTTCTTCTGTTTGTTCTTCTACCAGCCTCTTTCAGCCAAGACGTTCCACTCCTACTTTTCCCACTTATTTAACTTCAGATGATCAGCTGGAAAAATCTGTACATTTTGTGTCTTATTAGGAGACTGAAGTGTTCAGACTTTCTGCTATTTATGTGTTTTGTGATTTCAGCTGGCATTTGATTTATATAAATCTGGCCTGGATATAAGTTAAATACCAACCTCAGAATTTGAGATCATGTTCCCCCTTGTCAGATTTTTCTCCACAGAGACATGCCTGGTTCTTTCCTTTATTCCCCACTGGCCTCTTTTAACACAGTTTACCCGTCCTCCTACAAGGATGTGGTGGCGCTGCAAGTTAAACTGCAGAAGCCTCTGTACTGCAAGGTCAGAAGATCAAACAGTCGTGAGATCGAATCCACACAACGGAGTGAGCTCTCGTCGCTTGTCTCAGTTCCTGCCGATCTAGCAGTTCGAAAGCATGTAAATGCAAGTAGATAAATAGGTACCACCTCGGTGGGAAGGTCACGGCATTCCGTGTCTAGTCGCACTGGCCACATGACCACGGAAACTGTCTACAGACAAAACGCTGGCTCTACAGCTTGGAAATGGGGATGAGCACTGCACCCTAGAGTTGGCCACGACTGGACTGAATGTCAAGGGGAACCTTTACCTTTACCCATCCTACCTGCCCTCCTTTGAACCTGTTCCAGTTAGTCTACATCTTTTTAAAAGAGATTTGGATAAAGTACTCTAGGTTAGGTCAGACTTGTAGGTAATAAAGTGGAAGTATCACGTCTCATAACTTCTAATTTATAGTTCACAGAAGGCGGGCAGTTCTGTTTCATCAAACCTTTCACTTCTGCCTTGTCTTGCAGAAAACAACATGGTATTTGACACTCCTGTTCTTCCTGGTTGCGGGAATTCTAGTGTTTCTCTGTCTGCCATCTGCAGTCTTTCGAGAGATGGAGGGCTGGACTTACAATGAAGCAATTTATTTTGCATTTATTACCCTCAGCACTATTGGCTTTGGGGATTTCGTAATAGGTAAGGTTTCCTAGAATGGTTGTCAAGTATTATTTTGTATATGTGGTGATGGCCTCTAGCTCTTCCTCTTAAAAGCTCACTGTGTAATTAAGAAGCCTACACTTAAATCAGTTACCTTTAAACGGCCGCCATGGCCTGGGCCACCTCTCGCTATTGCGCATGCGCCAACCGCCATTGAGTGGACGGAAGAAAGTGAGGCACCTTGGCGGGGGGCGGAGCAAATATCTGATGACGAGACAGGGCAGAAGCCTACACTTGCAGTGATCTCTCTTGTTTCTAAAGGTTAATGGACTTCATGGCAGGTGAGATGATCACCTGGGGTCCTAAACTGGAGGTAGGGGGTGGGGTGGGGTGCACTAGGTTGAGCTCAGTGGCTGTACTTTTTTGAATTTACTACCTGCAGAGACTTCCCTGGGATCCTTAAAGTGGAGCAGTGCACTAAAACCAGAGCAGGAAATAAAAGGCAGCTGAGGGCCTAGCCACACAGCCAAAAAACCTGGGATTTGAGCTATGTTATGAATTCATGCTGAATTTCATGTTCACACAATGAATTCCAAAGTGTGTATTTATTTTCCCCTGACACATTTCATTTTCTTAGGAAGTGAATTAACATAAACGGCCACCAGAGGGCCATCTATTTTAGCACACTGTTTTCTTAATTGATTTAGCCCATTGTGATCTTAACAGCTGGTTTTAAAAGGGAGCCTCTCCGTGCATACCCGATTTAAGATTGCCAGCTGAAGCTCTAATGAGCTTCCCCCCCTCTTTTGTGTACCCTCCCAAATCAGTATATTAACAGAAGAAGTAGGAATGCAGGAAATGTCTTTAAAACAATGTGAGTCAAGTCAGCTGAAAATTAAATTGCTATATATTGTGGGGTTTTTTGAAACTTAGACAGGCTCTTACCCCAGGGTCTTTCTGTACACATAGCTGGGGAAAGCCTGGGACTACCAAGGCCTTTTTTATCACTATATTTTGAAATCCTGCATAATTCATCCACCTTGGCAACCCTGAAGAACTGTAGCCATGTCTGGGGAATGCAACTGGGATAATTTGCCCCAGAGCCTTGGAAAACAACTTTTTTTTCTTTCCTCAGTTCCTGTACCCTTGTCCCCTGTAGCTTCTTCAGTCTGAGGAGGGGGAAGAGAAACCAACATGGAGGATCTATCAGGGGTCTCTTACCAACTCTCCTCAGACTGAAGAAGCTACTTCGATGAGTAACGAAACATTTTTCAACCTAACAAGTCCAGTTGCCATGACTCAACTTCAGCCTAACAAGTCCAGTTGCCATGACTCAACTTCCAGATAACCTTACCTGGAGGATTGAGAATCTTCACAGATATATTGCCTCATGAAACCGTTAAGAAAATAAAGGCTTTTAAAAAAAGCCAAAATAAGATCTTCCTTCCTCTGTCCCATGGAGCAAATGGAGGAAGAAAAACACACACTGTAAAATCATAGAATCTTCACAGATATATTGCCTCGTGAAACCGTTAAGAAAATAAAGGCTTTTTTAAAAAGCCAAAATAAAATCTTCCTTCCTCTGTCCCATGGAGCAAACGGAGGAAGAAAAACACACACTGTAAAATCAAAGCTCATTGGGGCAGCACTAATGCGCTGTACCTTTTAGAGAATTTTTTTTTTTAATTGAAGACTTTCTCCTGGAATCCTGAGGCAAAGGGAGGGAGATTTCCCCCCATTATTTAAATAGCCTCAAGCTTGCTCTGCCATGCTCCACATGGTTTGTGCAGTCTTGATGTAAACATTAAACTCTGAATTACTGCAAATCTGGAAGTCATGGAAATATGAAGTTGGGGTGCAGTGGGAGGTGTGCAACCCTGAGGCCTGTTCATTGGTGATCACAGACATAGTTTGGCATTATGTCCAAAGTAGTCTATAGCAATTATGCAACACTGTATTGTATCCTTCTTGCCCAATTAAGTACTTACTTTAGCTAAACTACACTTGCCTTTTAAATTGTTTCTTCCCAGGAAGAAAACATGGGAAGGATTATTTCCCTGGCTATCAGATTTTGGTAGCAATTTGGGCTATTTTTGGACTTGCCTGGATAGCGCTGTTGTTTAGTCTACTGACAACATTACTGGAAGATCCAGAGGAAAACCCCATAACGGAGTACCTTCAGGTGAAGACAGCGGTAAGGAAAAAAGAAAAATTCAGAAAGGGCTTCAACTCCTTTTCAGCTTATCGTTGCACCTGTCAGATATAGAGAGAAAGATCAGCAAGAGGATATTTTCATGTGCTATTTTGCTGATCACTGACCAGCTGATCTTCAGGTTATATAATTTCTTTTAAAATAAAATAAAAACTCAGGAATCGTGCAATGATCATATGTTTTCTTTACAGAGTGTGCATTCTCTCTCTTCATAATAGCCAAAATCCTATTGTGTAAATTAACTCCAATGGGGGGGTATCAACATCACCAGCAGGGGCAGGTTTTCAGTAATTAAAGACTTCCTCCTTCTGCCCCCCAGCTGGTCCCACAAGCACTCATTTTCATTGTGTGGAAGCCATGGGAGCTGGGAAATTGAAAGAGTAGGTCTTTATTCACCAAAAATCTCTCTCTGCTGGTAACATCATCTGGTAACAGAGGTTTTCAATGAAGTTTTCCACCATCCATCCCACAACACGCAAGCAAGGAAATGAATTACTTCTGAATCAGACAAGTGGGTGGGTGTGTTTAATTACTGGAAATGCTCCCTGTTTTAAACCTGTAGCTCTCCAGATACTGTTGGACTCCAAGTCTCATCAACTCTAGTGAGGATAGCCAGTGAGGATGTGAAATCTTCCGGGTGACAGATTATTAGGGTGGCCTCATAAAAAAGAAGACAGGGTGCTTGCATCTTTAACAGTTGCAAAGAAGGGATAATTTATGAAGATGTAGATCAGGGGTCTCAAACATGCGGCCCGGGGACCATTTGCGACCCACCGGATAATAGTTTGTGGCCCCCGCCTTGCCTGCCTATGCGTCGTCTGCTGTCAAGAATCAAAAATATCTGCAAACATTTTCTGAGATCCCAGGAAATTTCCGGGTCTCTGGTTCCTGGGCCCCCTTCCAGACCCTGGGTGTGATGAGCCCCCTGCACCCCCGCTCATGGGCTCTGCTGGTATGGAAGAGGAATGAACTGTTCTAGTGGTTAGTGTCATTCCACAAGCATCCCCGTTGACAAGTATCAGAAGATAATTTAGTAGATGTGAGTCTTAGGACTAGCTCGGCAAGCCAACTGGCTTATTTCCACCTTGGCCAATCCAAGAAAACGCTCTTTGTTGACTTGGTCACAGATCTTCAATGGTACTAGTAATCCCGCCTGCACTTCCTGTATACAACCTTTTTGAAAGAGCCTTCTTTCCCATCTCCTACTTGAGTCAAGTACCAAATAAAGGTGTGGTCATCTTGGCAAAAATGAGAAGTGGGGGAAAAGCCAAGTCTCTGTCAGATGCCTTCTTGTGTTGAAAACACACACACACACAAGATTTGGACACCTCCCTTGTTTTCCCAGCACAACAAAATGACAGGTTTTTGGAACTGTCTCTGATGATGGCAACATCAACAGGGCTTTCCTCCTGCAGTACAGAAAAAAGCGTAAGGTTGTGATGTTTGATGTTTTCACCTCTAGATGACACTAGAAGCTCAGCTAACTCATGAGAGTTGCTCCATTGTTTAGAGTTTATTTGCGTCTAAATTTTCAGGCAAGAGCTGTAAAAACAGAGAAGTTAAGGTCTGGAAAGGACAAAGAAAGACGTGGGATGATGTATATGAAAAGTAAAAGTCCTTGAGGGAGCAAAGCCATTATTTCCTCAATTTTTCCCCAACATAATGCCCTTTGTTTCCAATTTCTCTCTCTCTAGGTCTTCACATTTCTGTCCAACTCTCACACCATAATTGATTATGTGGCATGGTTAATTGGCAAGTACTTCTCTGTTACACAGTTCATTTCTTTCATTTGTGTCCCTTTTGATGACTTTGATTCAGTCTTCTTTTCCTGAACTCAATTGGTTTTCTGATTCTTTCAATTTTTCTATGTGGTTGCTTCTCCTTATAATCTAACCTCTCTTCCTTTGCACTTCCCCACAACCTCAGGTTAGCTCCCATAGAAGATAACTTGAGGTTTCCTAGTTTCCGGTTGTCTCTAACCCATACCCATCATTGGCAAAGCAGCCACCATGTTCTCTAGACTCACAAAGAGAGTATGGCTCAGTAAGAAGCTGATGGCATAGACCAAGATCCAGGTCTATAGAGCCTGTGTCCTGAGCACACTCCTATACTGCAGTGAGTCCTGGACCCTTTGTGCACGGCAGGAGAGGAAGCTGAACACCTTCCATATGCGTTGCCTCCGACGCATTTTTGGTATCACCTGGCAGGACAAAGTTCCAAATAGAGTAGTCCTAGAACAAGCTGGAATTTTTAGCATGTATACATTACTGAAACAGCGATGTCTACGTTGGCTCAGGCATGTTGTGAGAATGGCTGATGGTTGGATTACAAAAGATCTCCTGGGTGGAGAATTAATGCAGGGAAAGCACCCCAGAGGGAGACCACAACTGCAATACAGGAATCTCTGCAAGCGGGATCTGAAGGCCTTAGGAATGGACCTCAACGGATGGGAAACCTTGACCTCTGAGCGTTCAGCCTGGAGGCAGGCGTTGCATCACAGCCTCTCCCAATTTGAAGAGACCCTTGTCCAGCAGGCCGAGGCAAAGAGGCAGTCACGAAAGCAGCCAAAACAGGGAGCTGGACATGGGTCAGATTGTATTTGTCTTCAGTGTGGAAGGGATGGTCACTCTCGAATTGGCCTTCTCAGCCACACTAGATGCTGTTCCAAGTCCTCTATACAGAGCACGTTACGATGGTCTCTTGAGACTGAAGGATGCCTATAATGAACCCATACCAACAATTTCAAAGGTCTTTCAGAAGTCAACAGGAAGTCTGGACACTGTTCCAGGTGCCAATCATTCACGGAATTGGACTGCTCCCATGATATCTCAATGCATAATGCTGACTCCGGTCCCACTCAAGTCCCAAGACTCCTTCAAATGCCTCTCTGTTCGTGGGTAGTTTGATAAAGTATTGCTTTATTCATTGAAGCAGTACTGAGCTCATGTATGAAGTGGTACTGAGAACACTGTATTGTAGCTGGTTGGTATTGCAATTATTCCGTCTTTGGAATAATATGGAAACGAAAACAAAGCTCTAACGTGTGTGGCTGGTCCCCTAGCATTTAGCAAATACAAAATCTCTGGTCAGAAAATGTGCTCAGCTCGCTGTACAGGCAACGTTGTGTCCAAACTATGCACAATTTCCACTTGCCTTGTGGTATGTTTCTTCAACCAACCCGTTAACCTACCACATATGATTCAGCACTATCATCGACACTCCATTTAGGACCGATCTCCCACAATGCTTCATGTTTCAAATACCTTACATACCTCCATGTCATTTAAGACACCCAAGTGAATTGGTTGAAATGCAATACCTCCAGTCAAAATACCCTTAGATATATCCACCATACTAAAATCCAAATTCTTCAAACATGAGTTAAAACTTAAGGAAATACGTGAAACTGAAATGCCTGGAAGTTTATTAAAACCATCATCATCCGGCTGTGCTGTACTGGTTGGCAATGATGTGTACCTTCTACTTTGTCTCTTTTATATGTGTGAAGCTCTCAACTGATTCAAAGGATGATGGTCTCATGAATCAATGCATTACACTAACTTCCTGAACGGTTTCCAGCTTTTTAATTCCGTGCAACTGGTCACACAATTTGACCTGATATTCATCCCTGAAATGTGGATGGAAGATTCTCCCTCTCAACGATGGTAAAACCACAGAACTCTGCCCTGAATCCAGAATTTACTTTAAGATTCAAACTGCATGCATCATTCATTTAGCCCAAGCGTGGTGTCACGGATAGAGTGATGGGCTAGGATTCAGGAGGCCTGGGTCTGAATCTCCATTCAGCCATGGAAACTCATTGTGGGTGTGGAACTGGTAAAAATGCTCCTCAAATATCTCATGTATCCCGAAAGTACAGTGGTGCCTCGCATAGTGACGTTAATTGGTGCAGCAAAAATCGCTGCTAAGCGATTTCGTCACTATGCGATTTTAAAAAGCCCATAGGAATGCATTGAAACCCCTTCAGTGCGTTCCTATGGGCTTAAAACTGACCTTTAAGCGAATATCCTCCATATGGCGGCCATTTTTGCCGCCCGGTAAGCGAGGAATCCGGCCCTAAACACAGCGGGCGGCCATTTTTTTACCTGGTGGCCATTTTGGAACTGCTGATCAGCTGGGGGGAAATAATTGCTTTGCGATAATCGGTAAGCGAAACAGGGAACCGATCATCACAAAGCGATTTTTCCCCATAGGGAACATCGCAAAGCGATTGCAAAAGTGATCATAAAATTTTCATCGCTATGCAATTTCATCATTAAATGGGGCGCCCGTTAAGCGAGGCACCACTGTACTGTAAATCAGTTCTGACTTGGTGGCAGATGACAACATAATTTGTTTTGCCCTTTTGTATGGTGTCCTTATGCAGATGTGCAGCTATTTCTTCTTGTAGAACTTGAGCTGGTGTTGCAGGCCTGAAAAAGTCCTGTGGCAGGAGAGAGAGGCAAACTCTATTGCATGTTCATGCTTGACTATTGACTCATTTGCTGTTGGTGATGGTGCACCAGAGGGTTCAATGTAGCTCGGATGAAGCACGAAAGGACTGTGGGTCTCAGGCAGGGTGAAGTGAAAGCTGATAGGCATAATGTGCTGGTATCAGTGACTGCATTGGAAGACCATGGAGCACCCCTTGACACCCCAGGAAGGGTGGTGGTGATGGGAAAGGCCACTCCAGACCTGGAAAGAGATGTTGCGTTGTGCCGGAATAATAAGGTGATGAGTAATAAGGTAATGTTGCCATCTTGGATAATATTAATTATAATAATTGCATTATGTTAGTTATTTTTCTACATTGTTTTAATGTGTTTTAATTTTTGTAAGCCGCCCTGAGTAGACGTTGTCTAGAGGGGCGGGGTAAAAATTAATCAATCAATCAATCAATCAATCAATCAATCAATCAATCAATCAATCAATCAATCA